ACTTTGATCCTTTATTAACATTTCAATTTTTATTGCTGTTGTTGAACTACTTTTAACTATAATTTGTAAAATCGATTGGTGTACGTTTTGCCTCTTTCTTGTTTGTTATTACATGTCTATATGTAGAGCAACATAAGCTCTTGTTTTACAATTTTCAACTACTGCGCACATAATAATCGTTTACACTTGCCATTAACTCGATCAGTGTCGCAATTTTGTCAGCAGATATTCTTTAGGCCTGCTTTATCGCAACCAGCCTATCTCGATTCAAGCCATTATTATAGTGTTTTCAATGCATTACCATCCCACTACGTCATCGATGTACGCTCTGATACTTTGAGTTTACCTACTAGCGAGATGCGTCAGGCCATGTTCGCGGCCACTTTAGGTGATGATATTTATCGTGAGGACCCTAACGTTTTAAAACTTGAGCAAAAAGCAGCGGAACTATTTGAAAAGGATGCAGGTCTGTTCGTACCCAGTGGAACTATGTCTAATTTGTTGGCCAGTAAGTATAACCGACTGACATTTGGATTGATAGAACGTTCATTGAGAAAACTTCGTTTAAGCAAAAACCTAAAAAGTGTGCAAACATTTTATTTACGTTTATTCAGTAATGGCGCATTGTCCTCAACGGGGCGCAGAAGCGATAGTCGGCGATCTATCGCACACGTTTCTCTACGAACAAGGTGAGAAAAAAAGCAAAGAAGGAGACGAACATTACAAGTTACACCTTTTACGAACAATTTTCTTCTCTTCTTTTTCTTATTTGGACATTTTTCGAGATAACAACGACTGACCACCTCTCTATATGTTGTGCCCGTTCACATTAATGCCGTTCATCGCAAATTGTAGGAACACTAAGTTTGTTATTCCATAGAAAAATCTGAATTCTCTTTCAATTATATTCCTTTTCTTTGTTCATTCTTTCTTTTATTTGGTTACGATTATACAATTCTTAAATCCACAGAATTATGGCTCGCGGCCAAGTACTCGTTGTGAGCACAACTAATTTAAAGAACAAAAATATGTAAAGAAAAAATGTACTAACCGAACGAAGTCGACTTGTAACTAACAAAGAACTGATCGCTTTTGAATTAATTACTTAAGCTGGTGAGAATTTAAGGCTCCTATTAAACCGGACAAACTTTTATAAATTTTTCACGTACAGGTAGCGCAGCCCAAATTGCCGGAGTTCAATTAGCGACAATACAAAATAAAACAGATGGCACATTTTGTCTCGAGGAGATGCAGCGTAAGATTCGTCCCTACGATGATTCCCTTCAGCCCGTTACGTCGTTAGTGGTGGTGGAGAATACACACAATATGTGCGGCGGCAAAGCTTTGCCGTTGCAATGGCTAGATGAATTGGCTGCCATTTGCAAAACTAAAGAAAATACAAATGGCAAAAATATTGCTCTGCACATGGACGGCGCACGTGTCTTTAATGCGGCCGAGCATTTAAATGAGTCGGTAGCACGTATAACAAGAGAGTTTGATTCGGTTAGCTATTCCGTGTCAAAGGCCTTATTAGCGCCGGTGGGGTCAATGCTGGTGGGTTCAGAGACATTCATTGCCGAGTAAGTAACAAAATATTGCGATCAATTAAAAATTTGTTTACACAAGCAATGTCGACAACCAAGGAATAACTGAAGTGATATGAAAATAGAGCAAATTCACATTTTGTAGTAATGAATTACTGGTAACATGTTCCCGTGTTTCAAAACACTTGGACTTTTCATAATAAAAAATTTTCTGTACACTTACTTCAGATTGCCTTCTTGGGCATCTCCATCCTGCTGACAAACATATAAACACTGCATACGTGCTTCAAGCACACATGCGAGTTTAGTTGAATCGACCGGACTAGATTTCACCCCATTGTTATTGCTTACATATAACACGCACTTATATACAAAGCTTGCTATTGTTCATCCCTTCATTGTTCATTGTTGTATTTCTAATCTGGTATTTTCTTTTCCGCACCTTGTCTGCGCACCTATTTGAGAATATCGCTCTAACCGAGCATATCATTGTTTTGAGCTTTAATTCTTAAAAATGAAATAAAATATTAGGCGATCAAGCTTGACGATTCACCGAGTTCTTGTCCGACTTCTTGCCAACTTCTTGAGTAATATCATATATATGCAATAGCCGGTGAAATAGCGGTGACAGGCATCGAGGATTAATCATAAGGCGAATGTGGAATAGTTATCTTACTATATATATATTTTTTTAAACAGGGCTCGCCGCCTTCGCCTGGCATTGGGCGGCAGTATGCATCAGTGCGGTATCTTGGCGGCTGCTGGTTTATTGGCTCTTGAGAAATTTGAGCCGCTCTTAAAAGAGGACCACCGCAGGACGAAGCGCATTGCAGAAGGTAATTTGTAATTTATGACCACACATAGTAAGGGGTTTCAGCGCTTTTCACGATATCAATCAAAAATCTGTAATTGCGTAATGTCTCTGCAGTCTTTCAGTATTTGTACTGTAATTTTGCGTGAGAATCAGTAACAAAACCGTTAGTTTTTTTGGAGCGCATTTAAAGACTTAGTATTTTGTATATGTGCACGCTTGGTAAATTTTTTTTCATTTTCATACTTATTTTACTTGTGTTTGTTTTTTACTTCGCGATAAATCATAATTTAGCAAAGACATTTTTAGCAGAGGCAGAACGCTTCAAAAAAGTGGGTTATTTCGGTGGACTATCTTCACTTCGGTAAATAGTTTATGTCTTTAAGAGAGAACCTGAGACGCATTAAAGTGTTGTGCGAACGGAACGATAAATTTAATAGACTCTCGTGATCGTCTTAGAATAATGTTAGCATAATGTTGGCGCCACTACTATTAAGCAATTTTTATCTCTATTTCGTAATTTTTATCCACTCAGCTGTTGTCAGCACACTTGCATCAACACACACGTTGTGCATAGAGTCATCCGTAAGTGTGTTTACGTAATAAATGATTAGATTTTTCCGCTTCAATTGCGATATTCAGTTGTCGTTGACATTTTAGTTGCATTTGATTTTATGTTCAATTTTGTTAAACATTTTTGTTCATTTCTATCTTTTGGTTGCAGCAATTGACAATCTACGCAGCCCCAATTTTAGTGTTGATTTGCATAATGTGCACTCCAACATACTCCTCATTCACATGGCTAATCCACAAATTACGGCCAGCAACTTTGCAAAGCGTTTATCGCTTGTAACTGAACGGGAACTGAAGGACAATATTATCGTAGACGAGAAGGAGAAAGGAAAGCAAGGTATTCAGTTAAAGGTCAGCTCACGAAATTGGCCTTTCGTACGGATAGTTTTGTACAATCAAATCGCTGATAAAGAAGTTGATTATATCATAAAAAAGATTGAATACGTTATTCGAGAATACGACGGCATTTGCGAATCGTTGTGATGCGTTATGATGCGTTGTCATGCGTTGTGATGCCCCCTGATTCATTTTGTTGCGTTGAATAAAATCCCTTTTAATAAGTTAACTTTATTTAGGAGCAACGATTATTAAATTCGCTAAACTAACTTTACTGAATTAAACTTTAACCTATCTTGACCTTCAATCACATTTCTGATATTTCAAGCAAACAAAAGAAAAATAAATAATAAAAGGCAAAAAATGGGATAAGAAATTTAAGTTATCGCACACTCAGTTGAAAGTGCGTTTAATCAATAGGTTCTCCATTTCACTTTTACCGTCACATCTCAACTCCATTTCCATCTATCGCTTTGAATTCATTCCATTCCTTTCACTTTAAAAGCCTTTTTATTGAATCTTGAAAACCTTTTTATCTATCTGTACAAATATCTATTGACGCAAATATTTACAATATGATGGCAATCAAAACCGTCGTTGAGTATGTCAGATGCATTTGCATGCACACTAGCACTTGCCACGTACGTGCACAGCGATGCAAACTGTATTCAAATGTCTCTTGGAAATATTTTGTTCATGATTTCTCAAGTATATCAACAACACACAGTAGAAATGTTCGAAATAATAGCACGAGTGTCAACAAACGATAAGCTTACAAAGAAGACGATGTGTACCCTACATTTGCAACAAGGACGCCGTATTTTCGAGAAGAGGTCATTGAGCCGAATGCATGTAACGTTTCCAATGCAAATAAACACTCAAATATGGTAATAAACGAAGAAGAATAAATCTAAGCACAAGATTAATAGCTTGCTAAAAAAACTATAAAGTACTGTTCATCGTTAGCAACTGCCTTTCTCATCTTACGACTGATTTTTTGTCGAAGAAAGGACTCCTTTTGTGGATATTTTTCTTCTATGCTGCTCAGGCAGAGCCTCCGTCACTACTGTCAACAAGTTTTGAAGAGATGGAGAGAGAGATTCAATAGCGGATAAAACCAAGCTGCGGCTTCAAAGGAGTTTTGAATCAAAGTGCATTCACAATAGATGTAAAGACCATCCTCTTCGTTCCTATTTTAAGGTCAATATTCGTCGAGTGCACTGTACATCGTTTGCTGCAATGATTGCTAGTTGATCGTAGACCAGGTGTTAATAGCTACGACGCCCCCCCCCAACATTAAATTGTATACATTAGCTCTCGCGTCTGCCAAGGGAATGAGAAATGCAGAGAGCATGTCAGCAGCAATTGACTAAAGACAAATGTTGTAATGTAATTTTTGTGTCAAACAAGGCAAGCTTATCCTAAATAAAACGCAATTACGTATTATAAAGAAAAAGTGTTTTATTAAAGATGAACACCGCTCCGCTCCGACAGCGCTCTTCACACAAATTCTAAATGAAGAAATTGCTATGCTTGCGTAACTGCTTCTCTTTTCGTTGAGGTATAACTTTCTTAGATGCAACACAATCCGTGTCGACCCGCTTTTTATGCGAGGAAATGTTTCAAATGCAGTGAATATTATCATAAGCACAGCATTTATATCGATCGCTCCATAATTGGCAGAAATTTCTTAAGATAGAGGCAACGTGTGCGCACGTATTATTCAATATGTTTTACGTGTTTTATCGTTTTTTACAATTTTACGGAGGAAGGCGTTAATACTTTTTACAAAAATTATTGTCACATATTCAGGCAACTCAAGCAATATTGGTAACGATTTTTATTAACAATTAATTTTTGCCGCCAATAGATGAGAGAAACTTAAATGAAAATAAAGAATTTTTTATTAACGAATCTTTCTGTTTTCTGGCTGTTTAACGGCTGAGGCTTTTCATCTTTTTTAAAGAACACATTGCAACACTTGTTACTGCTTGCAGATGTTTTTTCTGTGTGCGTTTAAAGCATGAAACAGTTTTAGTGGGAAAACTGTAACGAAACTGTTACGAATACTTTTGGGGAAAACAAAGTTTCAGAAAAATTTTCTTTTTCGATAAGTTTACTCCCAACTTTTCTAATTACATTACATACAGCCCGCAGTTACAATTAAAGTTTCTCGCTCACTTATTATCCATTTTATTTGAATCGCACGAATATAAATTGCATCTCTCTAAGGGTGTCATGGAAGCATTCTAATATTCACAATTTACGTGCTGTGGATACTTGAAAGATGGCACTTCAACTTTATCCAAATATTTGTAAGTTTGGGTAAAATGTTTTCGTTCATTATGGTAAATGTGGGCGATTTAAATAAACAGTCGATGAAAACACTTTTGCATTTCACGTCTACTTACATCACAAACAAACGAAATATATATTACACGCCCTCTCTGCTCATACGTATTGCAAATAAAGTACAAATCAATCGAAATGATTATGTTTTTAGATAAATTGAAGGGGATTAGTCGCGGCCTGTAACGTAACTGGTGCATATTTGGAGCTAAGGAAAAACAAATCCCTTATCATGAATTACCAAATGTAATATTCCATCCGCAAAAGACGCAAATCTTTTGTTAACAGCTTATCGTGCATCTCCCGTGTTGCGCTGGACAATGTGAGACAATGTTGAAAAAGAATGAAAATCCTCGACTCTAGGTTACACGTACTCATAAAAGGGCAGCATTACTTGCTTTCGATCTGTGATGTTCGCATCTCTATCCAAAACATACAAAGTCGTTTAGCACATGCGAAGTATTTCCTGCATGAGAAGTTGAAACGATGGGGAGGCGTTAAGAGCATTGCATTGCCTTGAAGGGAATTAAGACGAAGAATAAAATAGATTCTTGGCAAAAAAAAAAAATTATTATGCTCGTTAGTTCTCTATGTGACTGGCAAAATTGAAAAAGCAAAAAAAAAAAATTCCGTGTTAAGTGAAACGCTTTTATTCTGTTTTGCGTTTTAATGAGAATCCATTTACTTATTCTTTCTATTCAAGTGTTTTCAGCCAAGGGGAAGAAGGAACAGTTGGGGGAAAGAGATAAATTTCAGATTTAATTTTAGATAATATTTATTAAAATTTAACCACCAGGCATTTGCATTTCAATGAAGTCGTCGTCATTTTAGAAAAATATTTAACATACGCAGCCAGGCGTGTCAAAGCCATTTGTAAAATGCTTGAATATGTTAAGATTTTTGCTTACCACTTTACGCCGTATAAGAATGCTGTCCAAACAAATTTTAATAAACGAAAACTTGCAAAAGCAAAGCATTTTCTAATTTGATGAATTTGTAAAGCTTTTCGCGAACAAGGGATATCGTTGAATTCACTCACGCCATTTTTGAATCCAAGTACTTTACGTAAACCTACTTTGTCTTCGTATCCGTTCAAACGAAACAAACGAGTGAAAAAGTAAAGAGACGCGATTTTTGTTAACATATTTGATGGAAGTGAAATTCGTTTTCGTTTCGCACTTTCCGTTTCGTAAAGTTGATAAAGATGATGAATTTCGAATTGCGTAGAGAAAAACACTTGGTGAAAAAACACGAAGTGAAATCGGATAATAATACAAGAAGAAGACGTTTTCTCCTCAGTCTACAATCGCGTTTATTTATTCATTCTACTCCAGCTGATTGCCTATCGTAGTACAACCGTTGTAGCCCTTCTCTCTCTGCAACATAGTTCAGAGTAATTTAGGATCTACGCGTGACAGCGTCTTTTAACGTAAACATTAAGTTTTGCTTTTAATAGTACAAGAAAACATGCATAGAATGTAATTACAGTCCTACGTCTGACTCAAGCGCGACGTATCGCAATTTTAACCCAAACTACCGAAAATGATTTTTCCTGTTCTTGCTGTACGGATCGTAAATGACGGATCACAAGTGGCCAGTCAACCATCGTCTCTCCTATCGCTAACAGTTCGTTGTCCACTCCCACACTCTGACAACCCACAGCTATTTTATTGAATATTATATTGAGTCCGTGGTCTTAGTTGCTAGTGCTCACCGTATCTTTAGCCATAGGATTTATTTCTCTACTCTAAATAACTGATAACAATAATAACAATAATAGTTATATTAAGAAAGGTACATTTTTAGAGGAAAGCAATGACAACTTCACATCTCGTTTGAATTAATCTCCAGTTGAAGTCGTACTTAACGCCACGCCTTCGCATTTCGATCTCAGCGCGCGCATGAGGGTTTTCTGAATGCTTAATAACTCTTTCGCTTAGACTGCTTAAGATTTTCTCACTAGATATCGTGAAAAGTGCTTCGGGGAACTTTTAACGCATTGTATGATGTTCGCCTATCTACTATAAGGATTTCATATCCCGTCTGTGTGGTGGGAAATTGTTTATAATTTTCCTATCGACCATGTTACATAGATTTAATAATAATTTTTATAAAAGTTATTTTTAAGCAAAGTTATTTTACAGCAAAAGGAAATAACGTTTATATGTTTATAGACATTTAATTGTTGTTAATTAAGTTTTTATATGCATGGTAGCTTTGGTATAAATAGTTTTTTAGGAACCATAATTTATTCGAGTGAATCACCTAAACGCTTAGTTCACTTCCTGAAGCTTCCTAATTTATAGCCGCATATATGCAAGTAGTTATGTATATTAATTATCATCGCAGCATTTGCTTCTGTGCAAGCCCTTGCACGATTTTCCAATTGCCTGGATTTTGTGGGAATGGAATTCAAAAAAAAAGGAAAACAAACAAGAGGCTATGTTTAGACGACCCTACGATGTACAAACGCGTTAGCCTTGCTTACTTGTTTTAAATTGTGTTCGGCATATTTTGAAGTTCTCCCAGTCTTTGAGTGAAAGTAATAAATGAACACGAGTTGCAAATACTTCATCCGTTGCAATGGACAGACGAAGCAAACACATGCTTCGTGTTTCTAACAAAACCAACAACAAAACTATTATACTTGCTTTCTCTCCACTGTGCGGTGATTGCAAGTATTGAGTTAACATTATTATGCCTGCGGTGTATACCCATAAAGAGGAAACAATGATAAACTTGCATAAAATTTAAAATTAGGCGGTACACATTTACAACCTTGTTAGAAAAGTATCGCCGTGAGTAAATGCGTAGCTTCATGCCTTCTTGTTGATAATTGTTTTGAGTAAATTATGTACTCGAGAGTACAGTTAGGCGTTCTTTGTCGGCTAAGCTTGAAGAAATTGACATCACTGGCAACATTGCGTTATTGAAGCCGAAGTTTTCAGGTTAATCAATTTCCGGGAAAAGCAGAGCTTATCAGAATCATCGAACAAAACATGGGGATTGCAATTAATGGCTGAAATCAGAAAATGCGCAAAAAAGCTCGCGACAATTTCACAACAAAAAGTTGCTGATGATTGTAAAGATCGCCGGAGAAAGCGCGGCTAAGTAGCCCCTGTTGCTGGATAGACGACTAAAAGGTGGAGATCAAGAAAGGTTCATCACTATTCGTTTTTTGCCTTCTATTTCATTAGACCTACTACGTCATTTGAGATGCGGTTCATTTGCCTTTTATAAAACATAGGTACACGGATGCAGTTCACGTAAATTTTGCCTGTGATTTTACGCTAATGTACGTTTATTTAATTATTTAAATTTAACACTACATCGAGGCTTTCCGCACAACAATGTAATGCAGTGGCAAAGAACTTTGCTTTTGTAGAAACATGCACACACGATATCTCTCTTAAATATAAATATGTATTAAATATGTAATTAAATGTCATAAGTATGCCGAAAATGTATTTGATAATGCAAGCGTACTAAAGTATAAAAAGAGCGGCAAAATAGTAAAACAAACAATAAATTACTATAATGACATAAGAGCAGGCATACGGGCATATAATAATTGATATAATTCGATGGATTTTCATTTTATTTCGTTTTGCCCGAAAGTCGTCGAAAACATTGAGAACACATTCGGTTTCAATATCATATGCGCGCGGATTAGATAATCTAGCTCGGATTGTTGCTTCCCTATCAAAATTGAAACCTGACAAGAGAACAATGATTCAGATCTTCGCTACTGCAACAATGACTTATAGCAATGCGCCCAACAACACACATTTTTCGATTAGCTAAACAATTTCCGTGAGTTTCAAAACTTATTTCTCATGTGGTTCTAATTAAAATAAATGTGTCAAGTATATCATCTTGCAGCGGGAATTCATTTTCAATTTCGCTTCGTTCAATCAGCCATAAAAAATGCAAAAATCGCAAATAATTTAGAAAAAAGAGAAAAAAAAAAAAAAAAACACAAATAAAGCAAAAAACATTTCGCAGGTTAATTACAAATACTCGCTTGCTTACAGAAAGATTAATTCCACGCGGATAACCAATCCCCCAAAATCAATTGGAATGATGAGAAATAAAAGCGATAGGGAATGTAACAATTTTTGCCCGTAAGTAAGTTTTGCAAGTATGTAGTGCAATTTATTGCGACACGTACTGCGTTTTGCGGTTAACTTTAGTTTATTTACTCAAAAGCGCTTGAGTGTGTAATAATGCGGCAACAATACGTACAGTGCTCTTTATTTAATAGCTTTATGTTTAAGAGCATAATATAAGTGAGCTTATAAAACACATCCACACACATAAGCGAGGATTGGTGGTTTGCTAATTTCGTCGTTCTGCTTGTAACTCAAGCTCAAGGGGTCTTGCTTTGAGAGCATTACAGTCGGCAACACTTTTGGTGAGAACGCGATTGTAAGTCAGTGTATCCACGCCCCCGTTTTTCCGTCTTCCCGATTTCCCGATTCGTAGTTCATTTTTGGACTTCTAATAAACAAGCGACAAGAAAATCAATGAAGAGAAGAAGAGAATAAAAGTAGTGAACGTAAATGTGTGAAAGCCGTATTCGCTATAGTAAGAACTATTTCACAAGGATGTTTCCCTCCTCATGGCCAGCAATTTTCGCTAGATAGTAGTAAGAAGATAACTGTTATTTGTATTTATTTTCTTTATTTGCATTGAAACAAAAATTTCACGAAACTCCGTAGCACTTGGTGACATTGAAGTGTACTTCACCGCAAGTTATAGTTTGTTTATTTTAATTATATTGTACCGCCATTCGAGAAAGTTAGCGTTAATAGTTGAAAGCGTAATGAAAAATGTCTCCTTTTTGTAAGTGCTGTTCAGAGCACTAAAGCGCACATTCACAAGTTTATAGCTGCGAAAAGCATGCGAAAGTGTTGATCCTCCTATAGTCGTCTATATTTTTTTTTTTTTTTTTTTTTTTTTGCACGAAATTCTACTAACTTTGATAAGCTTCTCCGCAGTAAACTTGAACTAGCTAAGCAGCCAGAGATGTACATACATACATTTATGTAATAAAATGCTTGCAAATAATGACAAGTTTAGCAACCGCTTACCCACCATCCACTTCAGCATCTCTAGTAGGCGGTGTGTTGTATGCGTTGTTAATATTTCATTACAATATTGCAGCAGAATTTGATTTTATTTTATTCCTTCCAGCCTATCTATTTAATTGTACTTGTATTTTCTAAGAGGAATTGTGAAACAAAATTCACTAAATTATGCGTTCAACTGCAATCTCTTTTAAAGATATGACGGCAAATGTATATGTTTGGTATTCCTAGTGTTCTTCATTTTGCCATTACGATTATGAAGCCTAAGAACATTTTATGTCGTCTGTTATTACGCTACTCAAGTTTATGTACGCAAAAATGTACGCAAAGTGTTTCCATCAAATTTAGAATAGGTATCTGTTAAACACTTGGATAATTCATTAACATTGATATTTGAAAATTTACGTCCTTTAGAGTCGCTTAGGTGGTGTAGGTCTTATCTGCCGCATCTGCTAAACACTGTTGCGATTCGGCAGAGAAGGGTAAAGGCATATGCCGATCTCAGAATATGTATACATAGCTCTTGTTCATCGAGCCTACTTTGATATCTGTTTATTCCTATTACGAACGGAAGTAAGTGAAAACACTACAATTGCTTTCACGAAGGTGAGCATTCCCTTGTTTCGGAAAAATATGGACGGATGTTTTCTTTAAGGGGAAAACGTCATTTCTTCTTTGTTTAACAAATCGGGCATTTTGTCTCCTTCATGATTGACTCAATTTTTTTTCGTTTGCCACTTTCATCAAAAATTTTCAAACTTACGAATCCACCCAGTGGTACGCTCATCAATAATAAAACATAAGGCGGATGTTTATAATGGCTATCTAAGATGGGAATAGGTTGGGGAAACTTAGTGTTTTCGTCACAACGTTCTAGGAAAGGAAATTTGTTGCACGAAACTGCATCTCATGTAATATTATTTTTCAGAGCGACACCTGCATGTACTTTCGTTTTGCAGAAGTTGAAAACGTAGTTTGACAAAAAAATTTAGACAAAAGAAAAAACAAAATCTAAAAAAAAATTACACTGACAAAAAACGTCCCTGCTATTTGTTTCTCCAGCGAATCCTTAAAGGATTGTACGCGACTACTGAACGTATCCTGCATTCGTTTTAATTGAAAATTCCATGTTAGAAGTTCCAATATATAAAGACATGATTGCTAATATTTCTGACGAAACTAATTCAAATAATTGTTTGCGTTCAATACACTTATATATATTTTCGAGCTTCTTAGAAGGGAAAGTAGTTCTTCTTCGCTTCTGGAAAAAAAAGCGTTTATTTCAAGAGCACTGTACAGTGAAAATTTGTTTTTGAGAGTGCAACTGTTCAGGCCATCCACAAAAGAGCCCCATTTGTTGGGTGTCGCTTGCTCGCTCAGGCAATAAGTCATCGATTGAGCACATTGTTAATCAGAATGTCTGCTGAGTACAGCGGGGATGATATCGCAGTTCAATGGTGCTAACGTTTTCCAGGATAGCTTTGTCATACGAAGGCGAACGTGACTAGTGTTACATGGCGATGGCTTTGCTTGGTTGCAGCAGCTCATAAAATACTCTACTCAGATGACTTATCCGCCAAAACAGGAGAGCCACGGGTACTCAACTTTATTGCTTTTTATCTATTGTTTACATAGTCAGCTTGATAGTTATTTGTGCTTTGGATATTATATGTCTATGTGTATTTTTCATCCTTCCTCCACTTTCTTAGGTAGCTACGACGACTGTCCTGAAAATTCTCGGACTTAGGTATCATTCAAGCCCAATAAGATCGCAAGTCATTATCAACCACAGCTTTTGTCGATTAAAGCCGCGCACATTTAAAAAACAAACAAATAAAAACCTATCGGCAATTACAACAATACAACATACATACAATGCAACTTGCTGACTTTATTTTTTATAGCGGAACTGCAGAGGCAATCGCCATTTCCTTTTTCGCTTCTATCAAGCAGTTTGCTTGTGTATAAAAGTATTTAAAAACCAAAATTCACACAAACAATAACTTGCTCTTTGTTCGAACAACAGGAGCTCACGAATTGTTTGTGAATCGACATCTTTTCGCTTAAGGGAACAGTGAAAAAAACCACATACCTGCGAAAAATAACTGAATAACAATTTCACCAAAAAATATTCAATGAAAATTTACAATCGCCCTTCGGACGGGTACAGTAAACTAAATTTTTAATTCATTAAAAAAAAACGTAAAAAACGTAGAACACAGAACTTTATTGCGTTTTATTTGCGTGTTTTACAGGCAGTCCAAAGTCAACTAAAAAAAATGGTCAGACATTTTCGTTGAATTAACGATCAGTACTGAAACTCTACGCTGCTGTGAAACTTCTTAAGACGAACCAATTTTTCAAATGTTCTTACACGACTGTGCGAAGCGACTGCCATTTCGCCGAGAGAAGTTTTATCCAGAAACTGCTTTCGAGCAAAAAACTTTAACACCATATTCATAGCAAAACAGACTAGCATTGCTAATATGTAAGAGGATTCCTAAAAGGATTCTTAATTAGCAGAACAAAACTTGGGAAGGAAGAAAACGAATATATTCGATTTGTGATGCATTAGGATACCGATCATTTTAAATAAAGGTAAGAAATACTGAAGGTTTTAATTTCGGATGGGGAGGCATCAGAAGGCTAATTGGAATACTTTCTACCTCTTTTACAACGAAAGGGATTTCCAACTCAAATTTTTATTCATTTGTTAAATTTTTGATAAAAAAAACAACTGATGATTACGGAATATTTAAGGCAGACCGATAATAACTATTTGTTGATAACATGCGTATATAACGCACGAAAAGGTTTGACTTGTATAACAAAACTTAATATGGTTATGTCGCTTGTGTACAAATAATTGTGGCTAAAAAAGGGAAACAGAGAAAAGCTTTGCCATTATACCACATTTCGACTATGTATCCAATCGTTTACGTGGCTATATAAACTGACCAATATAAGGCAACCCGCATGAGCACGTTATTGAACTTGTCGTCTAATAAATCCATTAATAGTTCTCCAAGGTTCGCAACGAATCTTTTAATGCCTAACATTTATTCTTGATCTTCTTACATAGGCGTAGACATAATGTCGACAGCTCTCCCGACTCTTAAAACAAGCGCATACAGAACGGACACATTATAACGAAGAGGAGAATATAAAGAATCTTGAGGAATGGATTTAGTATTTTTGGACTTTGAAAATTCAGGCCAATTTCAATTACCTTTGAAATCTTATGTGGCCAAATAAGAGCATTTGTGCGTTAGTGGAGAATAATTTGTTGTTGTATCCGAGAAATGTAGTTAAGATCAATGGTAAGCCACATAAGCCATAGCCGAAATTTAAGGGACAAATTCAAAAATAATTCTTTTTACTTTTCCATCCATTGTCCTCATTGTGAGACCAAGATTATAATTTTTCTCATCATCATTAGGCATCTAGTCTAAAAATGCCTCTCAGAAACGCATCCACTCGGAAAATGTAATAAGCGAATATTGTTTTGTTCACAAATGCTCAAAACACATCTGTGTTCACATTCATATCTGTCCCTATTTATTTGTATACGCAACCATTCTATTGTACGCTATACACGTTTACACTCCTATGTTATCAGCTTTGCATATGTGTTTTCATTTATCTTTTCTCGACTTCTTTGCAAATCTCTTACTATTCACAAAGTATGCATATAAACATATATTCACAGTCACATATAATATATATGACAATAGCATCTCTCATATGCAACTGGGGATTTGTTCTCCTGTAATATAGCATATTTGATATGCAGGCATAGGAAAGCTACAAAGTTACAAAGTTAAATCAATG